TGGGGGAAAGCAGAAAGATAGGATGAGGATGGGAAGGTGATGTGATCCAGCAGCGCTGGTGAGAGACAGGAAGGCGGGGCAGGCTGTCGGTGTCATTGGGATGCTATAAAGGGCATTGAGGAGGCAGCACGCATGTCCGAGTCCCATCCGACTGGCATCCTTCACTCCTGTTCCTGTCCATCCATTCCGGATGGGGAGCCTTAATTAGGCATGAAGAGATTCATCAAACAGCAACCCTTGGAGCTGTTGGTCTCTGTGCCATCTGGACAGATGGTTCCCTACCCTGTGACAGCGGCAGCAGGAATGATTTATGAAGTCCCACAGCTCCACCCCATGGGCCTTTTGAAACCTGAATGGCTTTTGTCCTCCCCCAGAAGGAGTGAGATTTTGCCTATGTTGATGGGCACAAGAACTGGGGTTCACACTGAGGCTCGCCTGGCTCTGAAGGCGATGCCCAGACCTGTGGCAGCCAGAACTGTGCTTAATTAGGGTCAGTGTTCAGTTTACAGTGACCAACCCACAAGGATTAACAGAAAAAGGATGATCCCCTGGAGTGGGGGATAAAGAGAGCTGGATGCAAATTCTGTCGGTGAGTTATGTGCCTTCGCATCATTTTTTGCCTCGGTTTTATGACCTGTACAACAAAGATAATGATATATGTACCTGCCCAACTCACAGATATTTTTGGAGGTCCTTGCGATATTATAGATGCAAAACGATTTCATTAATTATTACAGCCCTAGACAGGCATTAAGGATTTAATCCAACAAACATTTATTGAGCAACTGCTGTGTGCTATGCACCATTCCTGGTGCTGTGTTGGACACAGATGAATAAAACACAGTCCCTGCCCTTGGCGAGCTTACAGTCTAAGAACAGTCATAGGACAAGTGCACAGTAACTATAATACAAGGCAGAGTATGATAAGTGCCATGAGAAAGGTACAAATAAAGTGCTACGGTGGTTCAGCGGGGGGAGAGCTCCCAGTGGTTGGTAGGTCGGGAAGGGCTTCATGGAAGATGTGGTTTCTGCATGGGCCTTTAAGGAAACAGAAGAGAGCATTCCAGGTGGTAAGAACATTCCAGGAGATGAGAACAGCAAGACCAAAGGCACGGAGACAGGAAAAGCGGCACCCCTTCCATGACTGACAACAGGTGCGGGGTGCAAAGGAAGAACGGGGCCTGACTGGGCAGTCTGTAATGTCACGATGAAGACTTGCACAGAATTTTGTGGGTCAGGGGAGCTTTTAAAAGTTTGTGAATGGCTGGAGATAAAAATCACTATGCGGGTTCAGGACGGACTGGAGAAGGTGCAAGCGTGCCCAGAGGGAACCTCGGAGAGGAGACTGCTGCTGAAGTGGCCCACGTGGCAAGGAGGCCAGGCCAGTGCTGGTGGGGAGGAGCAGCAAGGAACTACATGGAGAAGAGTCGAAGATGCTTTTAGGGTCACAGAACTGGGTGGCTGGGAGGATCACATGTCTTCTAACAGAAAACGGAGGGATTGCGGAGGAAGGGGAGGCAGAGATGATCAACCTGGCTTCAGATGTATTGAGCTTATGGCACTGCCAGGGTAGGTGGGGCGAGTGTCCAACAAGGAATGTGCGGTCCGAGCCTGGACCCTGGCGGCGGGGAGGGGCCAGGCTGCAGGGAAGTGTGGACCCAGGGAGGGAATGGAGTGGGGAATGTCTGTGTTGCGGGCAAGGAGGAGAGAGGGCAGTCACTCTCAGATCTACCTTGGCTCCTTTTTAGGTTAAGGTAAGGGCATCAATAAATAAATCATAAATACATAAATAAATAAATACATACATAAATAAACAATGAAGCAGCATTGGGAAGGGAGGAGAAAAGCTACAAGAACATGGCATCCTGGAAACCAAGGGGACAGGGAGTGTCCAGGAGGGGCTGCCGTAGAGCCAAGCGATGCAGAGAGCTTGGGAATGAGAAGGGGCCTTTGGAGGTGGCATCATGGAGGGTGCCAGGGGCAGGAGGCCGAGTGGGGGCCAGCAGGGAAGGCAGTGTAAGCCTGGAGACCCCTTCCCAGGGGAGGGGCCACGGGAGCCAGGATGGCTAGATTGAGCATGTGTTAGTGGGCGGGGAAGATGGGGGCCACAGAGCAGCGGCTGACGGCGTCAGGGAAAATGCCACTGGCCTGAGGGTAGAAGTTGCTTCTTCCTAAATGGGAGGAAGTAGATGAAAGTGGGGGAGATAAAGAGATTTTGAGGAGACCTTATTTCAGCAGGCTCCATTTCTTTAGCGAAGGAAGAAGCGGAGAGTGAGGGTCATTTGGGGGCTTGAGGAGAATGTCTGAGGGGCTTCAGGGTGGATGATATCAGGGCAACTGGGTATTGACTGAGGGTCCACAGCCCAGGGTGGTCGTGTCCACTGTCATTAGAAGACAGCGGATCAGGGTGTGAGGTACAGGGGACATGCCAGGACTTCTTGCCCCGCCACCCCACCCCACCAGGCTAGCTGGCTTTCGCTGGTGGCTGCAGTGGAATCTCGCTCAAACTGAGCTCTAAAGAGGCAGAGAAGGAAGGGCCGCCTCCTGACTGTATGTGCCCAGATGCAGAAGGTCAAGGAGTGAGGGGAAGCCAAGGTCCCTGGTGCTCCCGCCATCCCACGGCCAAAGCCTTGTGGCAGTGCAGGCTGCCTGAGTTGGAGGATGGTGAAGTACAGGTCGTCTGGGGCCCTTGGCCTTTCTTTCTTCTGAGAGAGCTCAGAGGCAGGTTGTAAGGGCTTTTCCGCTTCAACTCTTGCCAGTGTCAGTTTAAGGAACCAGGAGGGACCAGAAAGAAAACCATGCTTTCCAAAGAGCTCCGACCTTTAAACTCCCAAGGTGGGGGGTGGGGTATGCTGATAGGTAGGGGGAGCTCAGCACCAACTCCAAGCCCTGACATCAGAGCTCACCATTGGAATGTTCTAGAATCCAAGACCTTGGCTCATCCATGGAGGCCCTGCTGGCAGTCCTGCCCATTCCCCACAGCTCTGCAAGCTTCAGAAATTAAATGTCTCCCAGGGCCTCTGTAATCCTCAAAATGAAAGGCCCTGAAGAAGTGTAAAATATGATGCTAATTATCTCCACTTCTTGTGACGAGTCCAAACCACTCAGTTCCCACAGAGGCTGTTAGGGCTGGTGCTTTCTTAAATATTCATTTTATATTGCAAATCCCGAGTCTCAGACTTCGAGCATCCACAGGAACAACAAGGAAAGAAACAGAGATGTAGAATCATAATCATGGTTTGGAGCCGGAGCGTCCGTGTGTGGGGTTGAGGACTCTGAGTATCCTCCACTGGCTTCCTGTCAGCCATTAATTAGGAGCAATTGTTCTGTGCCAAATTGCCATTGATTAATTATGTCTGGTCTCATATGCTGGGGAGCAGATCTTGATTATTTTCCTTAACTCCCTTCACCTTCAAGATAATGGTTTTTTACTTATCTTTCAAATATGTTTTAAAACACCGTTATTTATCAGGCAAGAAAATACATCTAACAAATCAAGCTGGCTAAGGCTTGTCTATACATGACCTGTGATTCAAGCCCCGAAGTTATTGGCATCAAGCCCAGGTTTCCCCTGGGGAGACTATGTCCAGTATTTGGATACTGCATTTGGCTTTGGGTTTAAAGAAAGTCTTAACTATTTTTCTTAATAAAGGGAAAATAGATTTTGCAAAATTCTAAAATCATTGTTTCTGGCAGGAAAGGGGGTGGGAGGTGGACACTGGAACTTCTCCCTGCAGCGTTGAAAACCTCAGTGTTGGAGCTCAGTGCTGGCTGGTGTGACCATCAGGACAGGAGAGTGGCGAGAAGTGACGCCGACACGGCAGTCCGGCTGCAGAGGCCCCGTGGCGCGCACAGTGCGGAAAGCAAGCAGAGAGAGTGCTTGCAGATGAGCGGAGCCACACGCTTCACACTCTTTAAGGTCTCACACTCTGGGGCTCTGAAGGCACCCAGAAAGGCAGTCATACATATTTTTGAAAGGATGGCATTTATCTTTGCAGCGCTCTTTCAAGCTCTCGCTGTGGCTTCCCTGGTGGCAGAAGGGGACAGTACCGTTCCTCATGTCATATTCTAACAGGGCAGGAAGGAGGCTAACTCTGAGGATACCATCCCAGGGTCCCTTCCTCCTTGGTGGGACTCAAGTTGTTTTACAGAACATCCATGACAACCATAGTTTGGGTCCTCTTCTGTCTTATTCTGGAAGTGGAGTGCCGAATCTTAGTGGAAGGTCAGTTTTTCAAAAACACAATTTGCAACACCCCGACTCTTTAGTGTCATCTGCCTGCTCCGTCCCAGGTTCTTGGTGGTTCTTGCTAAGCCAGAGTAGGAACTTCCCACTGTGTCTTCTCTAGCTTTCACTCCGTAGTGGTGGAGGCCTGCCTGGAACAGGTGGGTCACCCGCGGTCCGTCCCCTGAGCATTTAAACTCTACGTGCGTGGGAAGGCCTTCCAACTCAGTGTGGCCTCTGCTGCTTGGTGTCTTTGTGCTCCTTTGCCCAGCTGAATGCTCCAGCCTCCCTCTCCTCTGTGCACAGCGCCATTTAAGACTTGGGTCCAATTGTCTCCTCTGGGTCTTGGCTCGCCCAGAATCCATGTTTCTCAGAGGCTCGAGGCAGCTGCCAACAGGTGGCTCTCCATCCATCCAGGAGCCCAGAGATCCCTCCAATCCAGGGGGCAGTTTGTCATCCAAAATCATGGGACTGGCTTCTTTTCATGTTGAGTCCTTCTGCCCCCAAAGATGGACCGAGTCTCAATTCTGGTGGGTTCTCCACACCTTCTTCCTGTGGCTTGTCTGCCTAATGCTAGATGAACACCACACAGTTATAAATACTCAGGTCAATATATATATGCAGATATAGATATATATATTCTGGTCACTGTTTTACACTTTAACAAAGAAAACCACTAGCCTGCTTGTTCTATAGTTTGTGCCACCCCGACTCCCATCTGCCTGTGGTATAGCTGGCAGGAAATGTGAGCCACTGAGTCCCACAGGGGACACACTTACGTGGCCCCGTCACACTGGCCAACAGTCAGTTTCAAAGCCCCCTGCTCATGCAGGCTCTTGAGGGCCTTGAACTCCAAGGGCATGGTGTGGGGGCTGGCCTGGGAGGTGTAACCATACTTGAGGCTGTCGTAATAGTGGTACTTGACAGGGTTCTGGTTCTGATCTAGTGGAAAGGGCCAGAAGCCGTAGAGGTAGATCTGGTTGCAGAAACGCGTGGCCAGGGTGTACATCAGGAGGCCAGTGGTGGGTCTTTTGATGTGTACTTTGTTGGTCAGCCAGTATCTGAGAAAAGGAAAAAGTGACAAAAGAAACAAAAAAAGGAAACGTGAGTTTATGAACTATCCTTTCCAGGAAGGGGAACATTTCATCCTGCTCCTTCAGCAGCTGTAGAGACCAGTCGAGCAACCGTTTCCCGGTTCCCTTCAAGAGGAATGACAGCCGCTGCTGATTTAATGATGGAGCCATGGCCTTACACTCTCACAGACAAGATTTCACGGAAGCAAGACGAGCCTCTTAGTAGATACGGACGCTGAAATGAGGTTCAGAGACGAAAGAGCGGCTTGCCCAAGGTCACTTAGGTGACCCCCAGCTGGCAATGTATATAGAACCAGGACTCCCCTCCAGGCTTTCACATTCCAAGTCCATGTTGTTGCCCCTTCATAACAAGGCCCAAACAGACATGGGGCAGCTGGGGGAAGTGTGGCTGGTCTAACGGACCGTCCAGGATGACCCCACGGCATCACCTGCTAATACGCAGAAGGTGCCGGCCGGGCTGTGGGGGGCAGGATGCTGGAGGCTGAGGTTGGGGATTTCCTAGAGAAGGAGCCCTTCCTTAGGCCACCTCAGTACTCTCTGTACTCAGCGAGGCTAAGCTGAGCTTGGGCGGATTCTGGGAGGGGTGAAGGCAAGGTGAGTACACAGAGGAGGGAGATGCCAGAAGAGCAGCAGTTGCACTTAGGATTCTTCCATCCACACACCCTGGCCAGGTGCACATTTCCCTGGGCTCAGCCGTCTCCAGTAACGGGAGTTCAGCACCCCCTGAGCCGGTCCACTGCATTTTCAGCTCCAACTTAGTGCTTATCAACCTGGGCTGCACACTGGAATCACCTGCAGCTTTAAGAAAACTAATGCCTGGGTCCAGCCTCCAGGTGTAGCCTGAACACCGATTTTTAAAACCTCCTGTAGTGATTCAAATATTCAGCCAAGGCTGTGAACCCTTGCTCTAACTGGTAGGCTGCTTTGCCAGAAGAACCCAGGAATGACACATACTTAAACAAAAGGAAGGAAAAAATAGTAAGCACATGGAACAGTCATAGAGTTTGGAGGATGATTGGGCCTGGAGAGGCCCTCCAGCCCAGTGGCCTGGCAGGGGCTGTCACTGAATGAGCTGGGAGTTGAGACACGTGTAAGGAGAACTGACACGTGGCCTCGGTGTTGCTAAGACAGTATGGAGTGGTGCAGACTGTGGCATCTGACAGGAGAGCCAGTTTTATTTTTGTCCAGTGTGGTGGTACCCGATTTTCTGCTTTTTATCAAGAGTATCAAAAATCTGGGTTTTTAAATGTAAATGCTCCAAATTTTTAAATGTTGGCAACTAATTTTTAAAAATTCTAAAAACAACATGTGTGGCCCTGTTGCGTGAGTGAAACAGACCATGTCTGTGGGTTACCTGTGGGTCTCCAGGATTGAGTGTGTCCTCTTTCAGATAACGGAAGAAGACATTTGAGTCCAGGGCGAGTTGCCTGAGAAGACTCAGACTTCTCATGCAGCTTGTTATGTAGAGCTCAGATGATGTGCAGCTTCTCCAAGCCTGTCTCCTGGATCTTTTTCACCCCGTGGGGATTCTGGGAGACTTGGGGCTGGGAATCAGCTGGCTACAGATGCTGTGGACACTATCCAGGGACATGCAACCCCCTGGCAGTGTCCCCATGTGATTGCATCTCACTGACTGCTCACTCCCTGAACCAATTCAAGCCCTAGCACTGCCCACGTGCTATATTAGGGATTTGTGGTTTGTTTATTTTTCTGATAGTAAGGACTTAGCAGGGGAAGGCTTTCAGAAATAAATTTCTTTGCAGGCTATCAATGCTATGCCCAGAGATGGGAAGGGAAAAATTTAATCCATGGTGAAACATACAAGGAGCTCATAGGTGGGTCTGAGGTTACACAGACACATGATGTGCCTTCCCCATAGATATGCCTTTCCCTCATGTGTCCCTTCGGTGAACTTTCTTTCTCTCCCCCCACCCCCCAGAACTAAGCACATACATCACATCTTCCTGGAAATGTTCCCTATGCTCTACCCTCTTCTCTCCAGCTCAACCTGACTTAATCACTTCCATATTATTAAGAGTTTTGTTTCTACTTCTCCCAATGTGCTTATAACAGTCCATTACTATGTGGGTTGGTCTCCCACACAAAACTGTAGTGTGATCTCCTCAAGAGCAGGGGCCATGCTATGTGCCCCTATATAGGGGGTTCAAAGGCATCTGGCTCAGTACCTGCTGTAGCCAAGGCTCTGCGGCAGAGAGAGTGGTGCTCAGCAAATACTCCATGTGCTCTCCTATCTCTCTCAGAATTTCTTGTCATTGGGCTGGGGTCATGTGACCATTTCTGGCCAATAGGCTTTGACTACAAATACATTCCTTCTGGGCTGATGTTGCTCAAGAGCAGGCCCTCACTTTCTCTTCTCCTGTCTTGGAGAACTTCCAAGTCTTCAGTAAAGATGGTGTCAGTTTAAGATGGACGAATCTTGGATCCCTGAACCACTGGTAGGAAGAGAGCCCCTGCCAACATATGGTACTTTGCAAGAATGAGAAATGAACTTCTGCCTCACTGAACTGTGAGGGTTCCAGGGTTTGTCATTGCAGCATAGCCTCAACTTGATTATCCTGACTTCTCTTGCAGTCAGCAAATGTTTGATTCCAGTAGAATTGAAAAATGGGAAGAAGTAGAAAAGGAGAAAGGAGGGAGTGAGCCATTCGCGCTGCTTTGTAACTGGCTGGCTGGGACAGGGATGGAAACGCCCAGCCTCTCAGATCTGTGCCAGGCTTTTCATCGGGAATCACTTGCTGGGAAAGGTGTTAACAGCAAATGAGGCTCCGGGATGAATTGAGAGCTCAGCGGTGTGGAGGGACTCTCTTATTTCCTGTTCTGCATCCACAGGTAAACAAGAGCTCCTGAGAGGTGTCTGACGGGGACACAGGGCACTGTTTAATGAGCAGCTTGTAAGAGAGGCTAGCTGAGTTCTGCAGGAACAAAACACTCCATTTCCTTTATATCTTCTCAGTTGCTCTGGCCAATTTAACGACTGTGTGCTTGGCCGACTTGTAGACTGTTTCTTTCCTTAGAATGGCAGCTGGGTGTTAAAACTAACTAATTAATTTTGCCTTCCCAAATGAGGTTAGCTGGGTACATCTGGGACATCATATTGACAGTACACCTTTAATGGCCCAGTCTTGAGATTTTAATTAGGAGGTGAAGTAATCTCAAAGAAGGCAGTAATTATTTTTCAAACTGGTTACCCCAATTGCCAACACTATTAAGCACTGTATTTTATGAGCATGGACAACAATAAATGAGGCTCGACAACATCATCTCGAACGCACATATGTCCTTCTCCCTGGATGCTGGGCTTGATACGTGGCAAGAACAGGGGCTACCCATGTTGGACAGAGAGACCGCAAGGGCTTTCTCCAAGAAGCTAAACGCACTTCATGGGTTGTAGCTCATTTCATCCGTAAGGAGCAGGAATGCCTCCCAGGTGGCTGCCAAGGGATACTTGGTGCCTTTTCGTGCAGATGTGGCAGCAAAGCCAGGAACAGAACTCTTTTGTTCCCGGTCTCCCATTGCCCATATCATCAGCCCTGACCCCGATTTGGGGCCCCATAGCCTACTGCTGCCCTTTCCGTAGAAGCACTGTTTAAGACTACTCTTGGGGGGCATGTCTGGACAAGGTTGTCCAGCTTTGCAGAGATGGGGAGCTGGGCATTTTGTCTCAGAATTTGGGGCTAGAGTGCAGAGCTGGTCAAGCCAGGGGGCGTTTGAGGCTGATTCATGGCTCCTAGGCTCCCATGCTTATCCAGGTAAGTCAGGAGCGAACCTCCAGTCTGACCATGCCCCCGAAACCTCCCTGGGACTGCTGGCGTCCACAGGATGACTGCCAGCGGCCTCGGCCAGGCTCGTGCGGCCCTGCAGCTCTGGGCCTGGGACCCTCCCGTCCCCTGGGGAGCCCCGTCACATCACCACGAGGAACTCTTCGGTTTTTCCCAGGACACCGTCCCCACCTGCGACTCCTAGCTGGCAGCCCCTTCTTACGGTCTCCGCCTCAGTGCCGCTTCCCGCAGGAATTCTTCCTGGCCCTCCCTGGAGGGTTTTCTGCTCTCTGTGTTGTTCTTTCCCTGTGACAGCACTTGCCATGCTACGCCATGATTACTTGTTTACTTGTCTTTCTCTCCCTTTATAATTTAAAATTCTGGGAACAAGTAGGTTGGCTTTTACATGAACCTCAGATCCTAACACAGTACATGCACAAAGTCCACGCAGCTTCCCGTACCCTAATGAAACAGGGAACGAAGATGAGCAAGCAGAGGTCAGGGGCCCCTGTGAGGGCACAGGCAGAGTGAGGGGGGGATCGCAGCCGCTTCGCGTGGGAGGCCAGCCCTCACCGCACGGGCCTCACTCCAAACCCTTCTAGGCCGCCACCCGGTCTGCACACGTGTGAGGTGGCTAACGGCGTGCTGCCGAAAGGAGAAAGGGAAACCTGATGTGGTTATCTGAGGGGTTCCCCCTGCTACAGGGTGGGCTCCCAGAGAGTCAAGAGACTGCTGCTCTTGCACAGGCCCAGCCAGACCATTTCTTTGGGGGAGGGGGGTCTTGAACCTTCTGGCTGGATTCTGGAATTGAAACTGACGCCACTCCCAACTGAAGAGTTATGTTCAACCTCACCTGTAATTAAAGGAATCCAGTGCCATTTTCCACTGGATTGGCAAAGATAACAAATGTTGATAATACACCATGTTGGCGAGGTTACAGAAAAACAAGCATTTTTAATAATCATGGGTGTAACTTGGCAATGTCTATAAATATTAATAATGCATACATCCATCTCTCTTTTTAGCAATGATACTTCTAAAAAGCAAGCTTATACACAGAGATATGTGTGCAGAAGTTGGTAAGAGATGGTCACTGTAGTACTGGCTATATTACCAAAAGATTGAAACACCGCTATGTCCCCACCACCCATGGCTTCTGCTTATGTTAACTATGGCCCAGACTCGGTGGAAGACTAGGAAGCTAAGAAGGGAACCAAGGTGGTACCTGTCAATACGGGATAGTGTCCAGGACTTAGCAGATGTGGGTAGTGCTTAAAACATGCTTCCTTATGTGTAAAAGGAGACTTTTCTGGAAGGAGACACAGAAACCAGTTTAACAAGGCTGCCTCTTGTGGAGGAGGGCTTTTCACTTTAAATCCTCTTATACTATTTGGATTTTTCTTTGTACTATGTGCATTGCTATTTAAAAAAATAGAGATAATCCATTAAAAATGACCAAGTGCCAGTAGCCATCTGTGCCTCAGTCCCACAGACCTCACTCCGGTTCTTCTGCGTGGAACACACTTCCACACTCCGTGTCTGCAGAGGAGACTGGGCCCCAGCTCCTTCAGCTGGCCCACGGGGCGTGCACTTTTTACTGCGATGGGCATGTCTGGGAGGGGACACCGCCGACCCTCGCTGGTCTGCCTGTAGTCCCCACACCACGCTTAGTCTCTGACCGCTGGGCCCGCCCTCGGGTCCTCCGCTTCTGCTCCCCACTGGCACGCAGCAGGGCCTGCTTTGCTGACAGGCTGCTCAGCCCTGGCGGGGATGCCCGCTGGATCAGTGCCATCCTGGGGCCTCGGCTCAGCACTCCTGGTGCCTAATTAAGCACCAATCCACAGGCTTCCTCTGCACTGGGCCTGTGGGCTGGGCAGACGAATGGGTCTGCTTCCCTGCCCTCTTTGTGGGTCACAGCCTTCCCTGTTACTGCAATTGAATTGGAGCCATTCACCACCAGCTGCTGACCGGTTTCCCACTCCCCGGGGCCATACTCAATTGCCTGGCGCCCTCCCCCTCAGTTGCTCACCTCCCTTGCCAACAGCCAGCCAGGCACTGTGCCCGTTTGCAGGCGGGCAGACCTGAAGGCCCTTGGAAGAGCTGCTCAGGCTGGGGCGGGGGGGTGGTAAGAGTTGAAGCGCAAGCCTTCTGCTCAGGGTCTCTGGACCATGCTGCCCACTCTCCGCAATGCCTTGGCCCAAGGACTGTCTAAGATGGGCAAGAATCTTGAGAGTGCATGGTGCTTAGAGACCCTTCCAGCACGGGTGCACTGAATCAAAGACTCTGATGGGAAGGGTGGCCAGCTAGGCTAAATGTTAGGTTAAATTCACAACCTCCAATACCTCATAGTGTGACCTTATTTGGACATCAGGGTTCTTCACAGAGGCAGTCAAGTTAAAACGAGGTCATGAACGTGGCCCCTAATCCAATATGACTCACGTCCTTAAAATCAGGGGAAATTTGGGGAAAACAGGCACACAGGGAGAATGCCATGTGAACGTGAGGAGTGGCCATTGTCAAGCCACAGGCAGAGGCCAGAAAAGATTCTTCCCTCAGAGCCCTCAGAAGGAACCAGCCCTTGATTTCGGCCTCCTAGCCTCCGGAACTGTGAGACAATAGATTTCTATTGTTTAGGCCACCCAGCCTGTGGTACTTGGTCACAGCAGCCGGAGCAAACTCATGCAGCAGTTCTGCATGGTGTGGATTTCCTGCTCCATGGCCCAGTAAGGGACATTCACTGCCACCTGGACATCCCCAGGGAGGCTGCGTTCACTGCTAACTGAGAGACTGTCGTGCTTGTTGCAGATGATCTTGATGCTGGATCTTAGGACTAACAGCCTGCTTGTTTAAAGGGCATATTACTGGTGCTTAGTGCTATTTTGACATGTAAAAGTGAGTCAATTATAGCTGGAAATAGTTCTGACTGCACTTGTTTCTTCTCAGGGTGTCGGCCCATCCCTCATCAAGGGACCTTTCCCCTCTTTACCAAAGAGCAGTCCTTTTCTTTCTCTTACTCCTCTGGCTCCCAGACTATGTGGCTTCCTCCTTCTAGGAAGAAACGACACATAGGGAATAGATCCCGAATCCATGAGGTAAGGGTTATGTGGCAACCCCACTCTGCGACAGTGGTGAAATAAAGGATGTTGAAGGGACCCCTGGCAGGTCAGCCTCCAGGAAGAGGGATGTGGTCCCTCTGAGGCCTGTGTCCATACAGCTCTCAGTCTGCTCCGTCAGCCACAAGTGTGGCTGCCTTTCATTGAATGTATCTCGAAGTCTTTGTTGGTGGCAGTCGATTTCGATGCGCATACCCGCCCCAGTGAGACCATTGCTGGTCATACGCGTGGGTGTCACCTGTATGAGGACGAGTCCTTTGTGGCTGGCTCAGAGGGCTTCCCAGGGTCACGCTGAGTTATGCTAAGGCCCCAGCAAAGGGCGTTACAATGTCATTTGGTCAGTGAGGAGACGGTATGATGGCCTTTCTTATGTCCCTGGAGCAGGGCTGTGAATTGCCGTGTGGTTTGGTGGGCAGTTGGATGCACGGCCTGGCCCCAAGCCAAGAGGTCAGGAGCGGGAAGGGTGTATTTGTAACAGGCGTCTCGTACTTAACATGCCCAAGAAAGATCTCTCCTCCTCAACACCCCCAAACATGCATGGGCTTCCCCAGGCTCTCTTATCACAGAGGATGGCGCCACCATCCGCCCATTCACTCAAGCCTCATCCTAACAGTCACCCTGGATTGTTCTCTCTCTCTCGCTCCATGAGGCCCTTAAATAGACTCCATCAGCTAGTTCTGCTGCCTCTACTCCAAATTTTATAGCAAGTCTGTTGCATATCGACTACCATTGTCCTTGTCTTAGTCAAATGTATTTCCTGCCTGAACTATTGCAACAGCTTCCCAACAAATATTCCTGCTTCCAGTCTTGCCCCCTTACGGTTTATTCTCAACACTGCCCTCCAGGCAGGCACTACCGGTTGGTCATAATTGCTGTGGCAGATGAAACCCACATGCCAACCCCCTCATTTCTCAGGAAGGAGGCTCAGAAAGGCCAGGTCACTTGCAGAGGTCATACAGCTGGCAAGTGGGGGAGCTGAGATGGGCATTAATCTGGGAAAGGAGTATTGCCTACCAGGCACTGCGCCCCCCCTCAGTGACAGTCCCCATCCCCTGGGAGGGGTCGCTCACCCGCGGACGGCGTGCAGCAGACGTAGAGAGGGGTATGCAGTACGCACGTTGACGCGGTGCTTCAGGATGAGCTCGTTGACCCACTCAACACGCTCCTTGCCGCCCCTGGCCATGAAGGCAGGGATCCACAGGATGCTGCCATTGAGACTGTGCAGCCTCTGGAGCAGCTTCTCCCGCCACGTGGCATTGACTAAGTCCTCGAAGGCACGCTGGATGACGGACGGGTTCATGGTCACCAGGTCTGTCTTGAGCCCCACATCCCGGGCGTACTCCTGCACTGGCGCCAGGTTGCACCTGCCGGAGGAAGAAGCCACATGGTTCTTCTGGGCAAGCCGAGACACCTCTGCTTATATTTTACTGTACCCATCCTTTGCTTGCTAGAGCAAAGGCCCACGGCATCCTCCTGCCTCACTGGCTCTGCCGCCATCCCTTTTCCTGCCACACATGTTTGCGCGACTCTTAGTGTGTGCTCAGAACTTGACTGTGTCCTGAGGATGTCGAATAGCTTCTTCTGGAGTTCAGTATCCAGTAGAGAAGGAAAGAAGCACGAAGCCATCCCTCAGTCCACCTGGCGACTATGTTGCTGGCAAGTGTGGTCTAGCCACATGGGGTGCCAGAGGAAAGGCTCTGAAGGGACACGCCTAGGCTCAGAATTCAGCTCTGGTTCTTTCTGTCCGTGTGATTCTGGGCAGCCTGCTCAACCTCTCTGTGCTTCCTGAGAGCCCCATCGTGGCAAAGAACAACAGTTTCTTCAGCTATGATGGTGATCACAGCAGCACCCTCCCAGGTCCCAAAGGGGTCGCTACACACCAGTCCTTAGACACTGCTGGGCCACAGGAAGGATCCAGGAACTGTTGCTACTGTCATGATAATTATGGGGGGAGGAGCATCAGGCAGTCTCCCTGGAGGTGGGGACCGTTGAGGGAGGTCTAGAAGGATGGATGAGCGGCAGTCAGCAGTGGGAAAGGCACATTAGGACAGTGCTTCTCCACCCTGCTGGGTCAGAAGGCTCACCTCAGTGGCTTGTTAAAAATACAGATTCCCCAGTTCCAGCACCTAGAGATCCAGATTTGACAGGTGAGCCTAGGGATTGGTATTTATTTTCACAAGCTCTTTAGGTAAGTCTTAGAGCTAGGCAGTTTAGCAAAAACTAAAATATATGGCATTTTAAGTGCAAGAAATGTGTCTAAAGGCACAGAGGCAGGAAACTGTGGGTGCTTAGGGGAAGGCAAGTGACTTGATGTTACTGGAGCATATTGCAGGGTGGAGATGGGGCAGGAGAGGCAAGAAGGGCAAGATATAGGGCCTGTGCGTCAGTGACCTGGTTCCCAGGGCAATAGGGAGCTTCAATCAAAGGCTCTTGGCCAGGAGAGTGATATGGACAGATTTACATTTTATGCAACAGTTAGACAACAATAAGGAGAAGTTATAATATTTATTGGAAAGGATGGAATTGCCTATCAAAAGGAAAGTCTGCAGGGGAGAGAGGCAGCTCATGCCCAAGGTCTGACGCTGGCCCAGACTAGCCATGTGACAACCTCTGACTTTCTGCACCTCAGTTTCCTCATTGCAAAGGCCAGGACATGATAGAACGTTCCTGACAGGGTGGTTGGGAGAACTAAGTTAGTGAATGCCCGGTGGGAGGGCATTTGTTTATAGGACTCTCCCTGTGGAAGGGCGTATGTGTGTGTGGACACGCGTATGCATGTGCACAGTGAAGTTTTACTCCCCAAACACCTGGGAATTGACTGCACACGTATGATCCTAAGATAGGCTCTCTCCTCTATCAGGCATTCCAGGCTGGTGGGGACCCTGGGGGTGCCAGCTCTCCCAGCAGCACCTTCTGCAACCTGTGTGTGGTCCAGCAGTGACCCCCCTGACCCATGAAGCTGTCTTTCCTCATTCTGGTCTCTCTACCTCCACCTTTCCTCTCTGTTGCCCACCCCACCCCACCCTCACCCCTTCTCTGGCTCCTGACCAGACAAACCTGCCACATTTTCTTTCCTTTGTCCCCTTCCTCCTCCAACCTTTATACTGGAGGGCTTTGAGAAGTGGGGGCTGAGCGATTATAAAGGCCAGGAACGGGCAGAACCTGGCAAAAGATAAGAAACTGAAACAGGTTTGGCTGCCAGGCTGCCGTGGCTTTTCCGTCCCAGTGGATGCAGAGTAAACACACTGTGCAGTCCCGTGTTGTGAGGTTCAAGGAGCTCTAGGATAAGACCGCTTCCCAAAGCCCCAGGACAAGGCTCTCTTTGCACAGGGACAGTCCCAACAGAAACACGAGACATGGTATCCAGTTCTGCCAGGGCTGGGGCACTGTTTGGGGTGAAACTCGAGGCCCCGTGTGCCCTACTTTTGACCAGGGGACAGCAGGACCTTGTTTCCAAGTCTTTCTGAATTGGGGGTGAGGTGCCAGGGCCCTGGGTAACTATTTCCAGGTGTGTCCCAGGCGACTGAAAAGTGAGAGGTGATGTTTCAGCGAGAATAATGCTCAAGTACAAAACCCAAGGGTCTCTGTTGCTCACTTGCTTCCCAGATTTTGACTCCAGGATATAGTTACTAGTGGAGTATAACCTTCTCCAACACTTAAAAAGAGTTTTGCTTGGAGCAACCAGGAGATTTTCTTACTAATCTTTTGTAGCAGGTTCTATTCAGGGACCAGTAAACTTTTTCTGTAAAGGGTCAGATAATATTTTAGGCTTTGCAGACTATATGCACTCTCTACTGTAACAGCTCAACCCTTCCCAACTACACAATACTGCATTGTAGTAACACAGTAGCCATTGAGGATATGAAAATGAGTGGGAGTGTGGCTATGTGCCAATAAAACTTTATTGATACAAACGGGCCGTGGGCCATAGACTGCCTACCTCTACCCTAGACCAGCAGTCACCTACCTTACCTGTATAATAGAATTACCTGGCTCCCTGTGCCACATGCCCCTACCCTCCAGATTGATTTAATTGGTCTGGGTGCTTTCTGGACATCGGGACTTTTTTTAAAAAAGTCCCCCAAGTGATTGTAATGTACAGTCAAGGTTCGGACCAGAGGCCTCAAGATTTTTTTTTTTCTGTTTTACATGCATTTATTTCATTCTCTTCACACTGCACAACTGTTATACAACCTACAAGGTTGAGACTTACCCAACCAGGGTATCTTGTTTCAACCTCTTGGGACCCCTGGCGACACTCAACTTAAATATGCCTGCTGCACTGGACCCAGAGTCTCTGCTGTGGTTACCTTATGACGAAGCTGTGTGTGTCAATCTCCTGCCCACAGCCGCTGTTCAGCAAGACCCCCGAGTTGCCCACGATGGCACAGGTCCGGAAGTGTTTGTTCTTCAGCGGGGATGTTCTGGGGAGGAGCTCGTAGAGGTTCTGGGACACGTTCATCGTGCTGTCTCGGTCGAAGATGTAATGAATGATGTCCCCAGGCTTCAGCGTCCCCTTGAGGACAGAAATGTCCTTTTCAGCATCCAGGAACTTTAAGATTTGTTTCCTGAAAAAACCAAACACACACGAGGATAAATTGCCCTGGAGCAAGCGGCCCTGTGCCAGCCCAGGTTTTCCTGTCCCGCGTGCCTTGCAGGGCAGCTGGAGCCCAGCGCACAGGCAGAGCTGAGCATTCGGACACCCTGGCAGGGACTGTAGAAACGGCCTACAGGTGATTATGGTGGTGGCCAGCGTGGCCGCCCTGGTCACGCCCACCTCCCATGGGGAGTGCAAACTGCCGTGGGAAATGACTCTGTTCGGACGCAAGTGAGCTCGTCACAGAGGGCCCTGGAAGGGAGGGCAGCCCACACGTTCCGGTTTTCCCAGGACCGCCTGGTGTCAGCACTCCCCCGTCTTGGGGAACCCAGCAGTGGTCACACTACTCCCTTTCTTTAGCAGGATTCAGGGCCATCATCTGGCAATGAGCCTTGAACTAGGAGCAGAATTCAGAATGACAAATGTTCCTCGTTCCTCAATGGCCTGTTTTCTTCCATGGAAGCCTCCTGTGGGCACAGGGGCCTTCCAGGGGGTGAATGGGAATGTGGGTGCCATGAGGTGTGTCGGTCACGCTCCCTTTGAGTGACTGAGTCCTGTGAGCCGGTCTGTTTTGTGGGGTGTGATTTCCCTGCCCCCTAATTGCTGTCTAGTTGAAGGTTTGTAAATAGCGATGCTTCTCCACTCCTGTAGAGCATGGTTGCTTTGTGTTGTTTCAAAGCAAAGGTGGTCACAAGACAGCTTTCTAGGCTCTACAGTGACTTTGATTTAGGAGGAAAGCTCTAGACTCACCTAGCATAGAGTGCAGTCATAAAAAGGACGGGTGTCCTCAGGAGTCACCAGAGAGTTTTACTCTAACCATGCAGGCCTGGCCCCCAGGAACCTGAGGTTTTTCTTAAGGAACTTTCTAAATCACCCAAAATATCATTAGAAATGATTCAAGTCAGAGAGAGAAAGAAATTTGGCACCCAGATCAGTTGAAATGAGTTCCATTTCCTGCAGTGAGCCCCCATCTAGAAGTGATACAATGGTGCCTTTTCAGATACAAAGTCTGCTTTTCCTCAGAGCCCCAGAGGGACAAAGTCTTCACACACTTTGCAAATGAGAGAATTTGCAAGATGGTCGCCCCATTGTACAGATGGTTCCCGGCTGCCATGAGATTTGAGATGTTCACAACCTGTGGTGCATCCCAGTCAGAAGTAGATTCAATCACTTGGGGGACTATGAAGAATTCAAAGTCCCAGGCTGACACGTGAGAAACCCTGATTCTGAGCGTGGCACAGGTCTCCGCATGCTTTCCAAAGCCCCGAGGAGATTCTCCGGGTGTCCAGGCTCGGGCGCCTCTGCCGCAGCCAAGGGGCCGCCAGGTTGCGTGGCAGGCACCACGCTCTTCTCCCACTCGTCCCCCCTCATCACTGACCTGCATCTCTTGCTGTCGTGCTGGGGAAGCCGTCTCACTGAGTGATTTCTATCTCTCGATAGGAAACAGAGGCACTACTCTAGCTTACTGTGCTTTACTAAGCATTGCGCAACTTCACAAACTAGTTGGAAAAAGCTAAAAACCTTTATAGTGATTTATCCCAATGTATTTAAAAGCAGGGGAGCCCCCAGAAAACCCATCAATAAACACCTCTCTGAGTAGATTAATTTCTAAATAATTAGAAGGAAGTACTATCAATTATTAAACATCATTCCAAATAACTCACTGAATCTTTTATTACGGATAATTTTGGTGATTAATTGAAGTTGAAGGGAATTCTTTTCCCCATCCTGGGTGAAAGCGTGCTGTTCCTGCCAAGGCAGATCCCCGCGAAGGCCACAGCCTGGTCTTCTCCAAACAGGGTGGGGATTTATTTGTCTACCCGAATAGCAGGAGAAAGAGCCAGTCACTCACAGGTGGTGTAGTGGGGTAAACAGTGCCTCCCAGATACATGTCCACCTCCTAACCCCTGGAACCTGTGGTGTGGTTGATTTGGAAAAAACATCTTTGCAGATGTTATTAAAATTAAGGTTCTTGGGACGAGGCCATCCTGAATTACCTGGGTGGGCCCTAAATCCAGTGATAAGTGTCCTTGTAAGAGACAGGGCAGCAGAACACGCAGAAGCAGAGGGAAAGCATGGGACCACGGAGGCCGAGGTTGGAGTGAGGTGGCCGCGAGATGCAGACAGACTGCAGCCGCCTGCGGCAGGAAGGAGCAAGGACGACTCTCGTGCAGCCTTCAGGTGCTGACCCCCAGGACTGAGAGAGAATGAGCGCCTGTTGTTTGAGGCCTGCAGGTCGGTGGGCACCGGTCATGGCAGCCCTGGGAGACCCGTAGGCGTCTTCACTGATTCCGTGGTGCCGCTGATCCAAGGGTCAGTGACACGGGCCTGCGGCCATTAGGGCAGTGCGACACGTGGGAGGTCCCTCCAGGGGGCCCGGAAGAGGTGCTCAGGGAGGGGTGGCGACGGCGGTGACGGGAGTCAGCCCCTTCAGGTGGTCTCCACTGCCAGGTCCCAGCTCTCCCTCTTTATCCCCGACACCCCTCATCTCCCACAGCGAAGCCTTGCGAGTGAGGGCGTGGGAGCATTTCCGTTGGACATTGTGCGTACCCGGAGAGGGCACCTCCCTGCTGTGTGGTGACACTTTTGGTAGCTTTGGGCAAGGTTGACCGCGGCGCCCCAGCGCCCTGTTCCCTGCTCCCTCCCGATGGCTGTGGCCGGGGAAGGTCGCAGTGAAGGCCTTCCCTTTCTGGTCCTGGCCACCCCACCAGCTCATCGCCGCACGCTCTCCCTCCCGCTCTGCCTTCCGGCAGCACCGAGCACAAACACCAGACTTCAGACTGTGCACAAGTGATACGCAGCTTGGAGAGCTTGGCACACTCCTCCACGTCCTTCAAAACCCACCGCTCCTTTCCTGGCCAGCCCTCCGGTTCTCTCACAAAATGAGGTACTCTCCGTGGATGCGCGTGTTGCCTCCACCTGTTTATAAGGTGCAATACCGCCCACGGTGTACATCGCGCCACACTGTCCTGCCTTTGCTTACATCGTCTCCCCACTATCATGCCTGATTCGTGTCGGCACTCTGGGTCCCCAGTGGGATGGGTGCCTGGAAGTGAGTGGCTGGATTATACGGACTAGTCTTTGCTGGGGCAATAACAGCTATAGCAAAGGCAAGTAGCCAAAGTGCCGAAGTTGAAATTCCTACGTTACAGCTTCCCATTCCCACCACCCAACACGGCAGAGCTCCGCCTTTGCAGTCAGGGGTGCCAGCGCCTGGGCCAAGCCGCCCAGAGATGGCCTTTCATTTTCATGTTGTCGGGAAGGCAGCCTGCTCAAGCCACCGGACTGTGTGTGCGTGTGGGGGGGGGGAAGCTCTCCCAACACTCCCCAGGTGGGAGGACTGTCACCTCAGAAAGGGACACAGATGCCAGGCAGTCCTAAGCAAGGAATGTGCTCTTACCCAGGGAAGGACTGCTTCCCTGGTCCCCTGGGCGAAGCCACCTGTGGCCTCTGCCCCCCAGGCTCTCGCTGCTGCTGACCTGAAAGCCACACTCCTTCAACCCTGGGACCTCAGCCCCTGCCAACCTCCCCGGCCGAGTGGCTGCACGCACGTCCCGGGCGGGGGGCCTGCCTAGGGTTTTCATTTCCAGTTGACCGTTTACAGATGAAGCCTGCCTCAGTGGGAGGCAGGCATTTTATTTCTAGCCTGACTTCTTTGGATGATAGAGAGTGGCAATTTGTTGGCTTGTGCTGAGGAAGGCCAAGCCTGTCTCTCGTCCTAGAGGTAATTACCACTACCTGATCCTCAGAGAGAGCGTCTGGTTGTGCCTCCACTTGGCTGAGGCCGGCTGGATGTTGTGTTTAATGCTCTCATTACTTCTGTCAACAACAGCTGGTGATGAGGAGCCATTTATCACAACTTCAGCTCTGGAAGGAAAAAAAAAAAAAGGAAGAGGGTAAACATGATCTGTTAGCATGCCAATGACAAGTCTAATAGTTTTGTTTTTGCTGGGGCTTGAATGTAAACTTCTTCAGAAGAGCAAAATTCCAGTTATTACTTGAGAAGGGAAGGAAGTGTATTTATCTTCTAGAACGTGCAAACTTTCTCCCTAAGGGGTAACCTGCATAGGTCCCCGGAAGCAGGAAGGGGTGATAAACTCTTTCCGCCACCCCACCCCCAGTGCTCCCTCCCAGTGCAGCCTCCCAGTCATGGTCAGAATAGTAGCACCTCTCCAGGTTACTTTCAGAAAACTCCAAGTAGCAGTTGCCCTGGCAGCCAGGTATCATGATGGTTAACAAACCTCATAAAGAGGAAAACAGAAACTCATGTCCTCCCCTGGTCCTGCTGCTCCCTCCTTTATAACTAACTGAGATGCCACTTCAAACATCCACCTTGTTCGAGTGATCAATGCTGTGTCTCTCCCACTAGACTGTAAGCAGGGGAGCTCCTCACATAGCAGGTGCTCAATAAATAAGTGTTTGCTGCATTCAAATTTGCATTTTGTCCTAGGGGAGCCTGGATGGATGAAGGAGCTGGCTGGCGCTGTATGCCTGGGGCAAATCACAATTCTGGGTGCGCATCACCTTTCCACCCAACTCAGGAAGCCCAGGCATTCCAGGCCCGCCTCAGTTCAGAGGCTCGAAATCTATGCTAGTGGGTTTCTAAGAAACTAGGTTACAATTCCATCTCTAAAGGCAGAAACCAGTCTGCCTGTGCTGGCCGCAGGCAGATGCATGTGGGTCACATGAGAAGCTCCTTTGTGCCCACAGCAGGTTCTCCCAATTCCAGTGAGAACTGGATTGGTGATGCCTAATTCTGGAGCTTTATAGAATCCAAACCAAACATTTATGTCCTTTGCATTTACCTTGGAACAGCCAATTTTTAAAAGATGAAAGCTTTTTAATGGGGTCTAAACCCAGTGCTCTATTTTGCTTTTTGTAGGTAGAGAAGAAATTCATTTGGGAGTACACATGGTGCACTTTCTCCCCATTCCTCAGTATTCTTGACTCCTCTGGATGGTACCACTTGTCTTGGGTTCAAATAGAGTAGCTTTTGCAGAGGATAAAAAGTTTTTGACGAAGGCACATCTCTAGCATGCAGGCTAAGGCAAGTCTCTGGGAGGTACAGAAGACTTGACCCTTGTGAATTTTTGCTGCTTTCATGAAAAGAGGCTGAAGGCATCGTGGTAAGATTTCACAGGCTGTGTGACTGGGGCAAATCACTTTACTGCTCTGAGCCTCAGTGTTCCCATTTATAGGAAGAGGGTTCAGAAGCAGAAGATACCCAATGCTAAGATTCGGGAGTTCCATACAGACCCCCAAGGGCCCATACCTATCACTGGCTGCGATCTCACAGGCTCCAGTGGGAGCTGCTTGTGGCTCCATTTCTGTGGCAGTGCCACTTTTGCCTAAGGCCACTAGTAGGAGCGGTGACTCTCGGGAACACTGACTTAGCTGCCACACCCAAGACCCCATGCTTCACTGTAGCCATGTCAGTGGGCACGTGTGATAGAAACGCTGTATTATTTGTGGTGAAGAGATGTCTTTCTAAGAGGTTAGCTGATATTCTCATCAGAAACCAGTGATGGAGCCTCTTATGGCTTAATTTTGATTCAGTCTTGGGTGATGCTCCTCAGAAATGAGCACATTGGGTGCCCCCAGGCGCCCTCAGGAAGAGGGATGTGTAGAGGTATTCTAACACGGATGCTTGCAGAGGAGACCTACTCAGAAGCTTGCAGAAGGGGTTACCAGCCTTCTCTGTGACACAGGTGATGAAGGCAGGAAAAGAAAGAGAAACATTGGCACAGGGAGCAGTGAAATTCCATCTCTCTACTTCCTAGCGAAAACTTGGACGGGATCCTATGTAACCACCCATGGTTTTACTGAACTTGAACCCTGGTTCTGTCGCTGTCTCGCTGTGGTTCTTGGGAAAGTCTCTTTGGGTCTCTGTCTTCTTATCTGTAAAATCAAAGGATAGGTTTGGGAGGTCCAATCTTTTGGCATCTCTGGGCCACACTGGAAGAAGAATTGTCTTGGGCTACACATTAAATACATTGAGACACATAATCAGGAAAAAATCTCTGGATGTTTTAAGTAAATTGATGATTTTGCATTGGGCCTCATTCATAGCCACCCTGGGCTACATGCGGCCGGTGAGCTGCAGGCGGGACACCCCTGGTAGATAACCCCAGAGGCCACCTCCGCTCACGGGCTGTTCACGCTCTGCGTTGCAGCAGCACAGCTGCAATAGTGAACTGAGGCCATGCTTCTCAGTGAGTGCACCCTCCTGTCCCTAGCACCCCGTCCACCCCAATGACTCGAGAGTCTCATACCAGACTTAACATCTCTCTGCCCATCTTTCGGTGCCGTGAGTACATCCACAGTGGTAGGAATAAGCATCAGCCAAGCCAAGTGCCTCAAGTACATCAGGCTGGGCTAGATCCTTATAGTCAGAGGTTCTCATCCTTGAAACACCCCATGAAAAAGATGCATTATCATTCTACCTGAATGGGGAAACTGAGGCTTAGAGGGGTGAAATAACTTGTCCAAGGTCCCAGCTAACACAGCCTGGGACCGAATCTAGGTCTGCCTGACTCCCAAGAAGACTGCAGACCCCATCCCCCACCCTGAGTAACCACAGAGCATGAGGGGTCCTGCTCCAGGGGCAGGATCTTCCTCCTCAGAAAGGGGGCACCTTTCTACAGTGGCAGAGGGTCACATGGTATGTCTACATTTCACCAGGCATATCATAAGCTTCACTTGTACCTCCCAGGTGGTTAAGAGGTCATTCTGAGAAGCAGTGGTGTCAGGAACACAGAGGACAGTTCCCTGAGTCAGTCCTCTAGGGTCAGGAATGGACACTCTGGACAGGTGTCATATGGTCAAGAGACCTAAAGAAAATTGGAAGGGCAAATAACAGACCTCATTCTGAATAAGGGGACCTCTCATTCCCAGACTGACCAAAAGAGGATATTGAGAAAGTGAAGCAAGGTCTCCATGTTGAGTAGTGGCCTCTGTTTATGTCAAATAACTTGGCGTTCTCTTTTTCCTTCTTTGCTCCTTAAACTTGGGTTTATAAAACTCTAAGTCAGAGCTCTGGGGCATTTGTCACTGGTAGAGAATGGGGACTCAGAGGCATGGTCCAAGCATAGCCAGTGGCAAGCCTGGGTCTGTTGGCTCCTGGATCTCATGCAAGGCATTTGCTCACTCCCCTGCATCCCGCTGGACAAGGACTGTCATGAGAGGAAACATTCTCAGAATTCAGAATGTGCATTCAGTGATCAGGCTAACATTGCTGAATTGACTCCCTAATGTTTTTAAGAGGTCTCGGCAAAGTTTCTGAATGCTCTATTTTCCATCTTAATGTCCAGGACAGGCGATCTACAATGAAACTGGGTGAACGTCCTGATTCTGTTTCCATTGCTCAGCAAAAATGCAAGTTATGAATATACTCTTTGGTGGCCCAAGTAATTCAAAGTGGGAGGACTCTTTTTTAGAAAGTGACTCTTAGCATCTGAGTTTTCCACCTCTGTGGCCTCTAGACCTTGAGCCATATCATGGACTTGTTTAAGGACAGTCCCCCCCCCACCCCCCCGAAATCAAGTAGATTAGGGAAATGCAAAGCCAAAGCGAAACAAAACAGGTCTCTTTGCTAAATACGAAGGGCACCATCCAGCAAAGAGGGGAAGCAGATTAATAGCTGCCTTACAGCAAAAACAAATGAACACAAAATCTAATTTACAAACCTATTAGATTTGCTATGTAAGCTGTTCACAGCCGATCTGATTGTACCTCTGCCTCCAGAATTCCTGCAAGACAAAGGAAATGCATTATTTATAAACCCAGGTCTTCTTTTCAGAGCCCTCCTCAATCATCTGGAGATCCCGCAGCTGGCCCTGGAGAACTGGCCAGGGTGGGTGAGATCTCAGAACCCAAGCACTGTACAGGGAAGTAGGCCTCCCGGATCCTCTCCTGCCTCCCACGTGGATATTGTTTTAATTCACACCAAGGTTTCCACTTGAGACTTCCATTTGAGTCCTGAGACAAAGTCCTTTGGGATTAATTTCCCCTGGTTAAACCTGTAGGATACTGTTCCTTAGCATGTCCCCGCATCTGCTCCCTGCGTTCTCTGGCATCCATTCACATGTATTAAGACGCTGTCCATCACATTTTCTCCAAGCTTGAGACACCAGAGGTTCATCGGAGGCAGCAAGACAACTCAACAGTGCCTCCAACAAAATGTGATAATAATTTGTTTTGGGGAGAAAGAGAAGTTAATATTAAGTGGTGAAGAGCAGGAGATGGGCAACTAATTGGGTTCCTCTGGAGGGTGAGCTTTCGCAGTGGAAGCATTCTAAGGCTCTTCCAGCTCCATCACCCATTCAGTTCTGTCAGAGTCCATTCGGGCCCAGGCTGCCAGGCCCCGAGGTCTCCCCACTGGGCCAGCGGTGGATGACTCCATCTTACCCTGGTACCTCGTCCACTTTGTGCCCTGTGTTCTGGTTTTAAAAAGTGGTGTGTGAGACTAATTATTTTTAAGTTAAATCATTTTCCCCTACTAACTACAGGATGTGTGGTTTAAGGACATATTTGTTCATACTTTTCTTGTTTGTTTGTTTTTTTTTAAGTTCCACCTAGCCTTTCAGTCAGAGTGTTAGTATACTCCAAAGAAACAGTTAAAATCACTGGGAAAGCTGTGTGTTTTAAGGAATAATGTGATTTAATGAGAACTCTCTGGGGGAAGTTAATGCCTGTTTCCACACTGGTTTTAAGTCTGGATATTTCTATCAGCTTTCTTTAGTCTTGGCATACGTGTAGATATAATATGTGTGTGTACGCGTGCGTGTGTGTAAACACATATACATGTCTTTTCCTGATAGACTTGCATGTCTTTTTAAACTATCTGACAACATACTCTCCCATTTCACAGCCAGATGGGCAGACAACAGGGAGGGTGGTCCGACGTGCCCGGTGTCTCAAATTCCATCACTGCCAGTCTAGTTCTTAATGACACAGAGTATCACTGGTTCTTCACACTTTACATCAATCTCTACTACTTCCTTTTTTGTCCCTCCCGTTTATTCTTGGGACAGCGGAGCTCTTGCCTTCGAACTCTGGGTCTGGGAATGCCTGGCCAGCTCTGGCTCCGCGGCCATAATCCACGCGGGTCAGAGGCCAGGGGCTTCGCTGGGCGTGCTGCCGTCCGCACGTCCCGGACCTTCAGCGGCCCCTGTCCTGACCCCGGCCCTCAGAACCGGCACCCCCTGCAGGGAGGGAAGACCTGCTGGGCCAGACGTGGAGTCGAGCACGGGGATTAAAAGCGTGATGATAGCTCAAGACTAATGAAAGGCAAAGGGAACAAAGAAGGCTTTCCAGAAGTGCTGCGTAGGAGAATGGGTATATGACTTTCAGAAATCATTATCAATGAGAAATCCAGTAAAGGCTTCGGAGGGGCTGGTTTACAATCTGGAGGTGAGTTTTGGGGGATCAGTTGAGTGTTACCCCACTCTAGGCAGCAAAATAAATTTTAGGTGGACTTAATTCTTTCCCAAGTTTCAGTAATTTTCATATCCCTGTCGCCCGTTTGCTGTATTTGCTAGTCACCCACATTATTATCTACTTAAATTTTAAAATGGACTCATCTTTAAAAACTTAAACTAAGCAATGCCATCTGTGAAAATACAGATTTGGTACCATGGTTATATATACTCATTTGGGGAAAAAAAACCATTAATGCAAAAATATTTGTGTAAATGGAATACCCAGATTATCTTACATTATTACCAAGAGTATTTATAGCACCGTCTGGGAAAGAGTGAATGAAACAATATTTAAATTATAAGTAAAAATTTTTAAATAAAATTATTTATATAATGTATTATATATTGTATAAATACCTATTAACTATTAATATACATTAACAATATAAAATTTATAAATAAAAATTTATTTAAATCATAGAAAATTATAAATTAAAAAAATTTAAAGAAGGCAACTGATAAGAAACTGATAAGAAAATAGAAGAGAGAACTTATCAAATCTTTGATGAGGTATGAAGAATGTATGTGAAGACTTTTTAAATTCAGAAGTATAAGAAGAAATTGTAAGGGACAAATTTGACTTAATAAAAATTAAAACCTCTGCTGATACAAAAAGCAAACCTCAGCAAACCCCAGTCAGTGTCTTTCATGGAATCGGAGAGGCCCAGGTGAGGAGGGCACTGTGTGGATGCTTCTGTCTGGTGTCATGGAACCAGGGCCAGCCGGTCCCTGAAGATGGCAAACAGCAGGCCTCGGAGTGCACCTTTCAAAGGCAAGCCAACCCTCCCAGAGCCCATACCCCGGCCATCTCTTTGACTGGGGGCTCATACCCTTCCTTCCTCTCCCCGAGGCCAGGTGCTAGACAACTAGGGGCAGCCCCATGCCTCAGAGCCCACTGAAATTACTCAAACTGGCCAGCCCTAAGGCTTCTTATCCTGCTTTACCTCCCTTCCCACGGAAAGCACAGTAAAGGCTCCGGACCGTAGTTCCGCTCCCTCTCAGCCTCCTGAGTGACCTGGCGCTTCTCCAGGCAGCCCTGCAGGGCGTGGTGTGCCCCCTTCTCTTATGATCGAGGGATACAACAAACTGTCTTTCCAAAGGCAGTAGTCTCCTAATCTGTTGGTCTGACCATACCTAAATAGTAATAAAACCTATATTAAAACAAGCGGTCTTGTTCATCTTCTTAGCCTTGCAGAGTACGTTGCCGAACTGGGGTTCAGTCAATCCGATCTAACTTCCAAATTACATGGAACTTTTCTTCCCAAGTCTTCCCTGCAGATTGCATGCCATGTTCCTGCATATTATTTATACCTGAACTAGACAAAGTTCTACCTCTTAGATATCCATAGAATGGAGCAGGCTGTCATTCAGAGATGCTCGGGCTGCAGATGCTTGGCTCAAAATGAATCACTTGAAATGGCGAGGGATTTTTTTCCTAATTAGCTTTTGCCTCCAATGTTATTAAAATAAGCATTCGGCCCTTGTGATGGGGGAATGCTGATACCTGCTTGGTTGAGTGACAGAGGAAGATGATTAAGTGAGAAAAATTGGCTAAAGATAATTCATAGCATGCTGAAGCCACAGAAACACAGATGCCTAGATTATCCAAATGAGAAAATACGTGGGAAAGCACTTGGCCCATTATAGAGAACTGTATAAAACATGGTATAATAGTAGTAATAACCAGTGTCCACTTGACCTGCCAAGGATTTGGCCAGAATGAGGGCAGAGCCTAGCTGCTTTCAAGCCCTACGTTTTAGGGTGTCAGTGTCCTTCCACCGACACGATATCCCCTCCAAGTGGAACATACACAGGAAACTAAGGCAATACTAAAAGCCGTATGTTAAACCACACCGTGCACACCCGGGTCTGTTTTTTGATGAAAAAGCAGTTAGTAAACCTGAAAACTGTGTTTCCCTTTGGACTCTTCATCCAAGCCTGGGGTTTCATAGCTCTGTCGGAATCGCCCACCTTCTCAGTTTCTCACAGGAAAGCCAGGCTCAGTGAGTGCCCCTCAGGCACGGACAGCTTTAGTGAAGAGTCTGGACCCAACTTCAACAGTTGATTAGTCTTGAGAGTAGATTAAAGCACAATTCATGAATTTGCAGATGGTTCTTCTTTCATAGTTTTGGGAGAATATGGAATGCTTTTATTCAATTTGTGTGTAAACTGCTAGGGTTCTTGCCTGTTGACCCCGAGGGACACATTATAGTCACATGGCTCCACAGACACAGGATGGAGAGAAAAGCAAGAAAAAGAGATGATTTATTTGGGGTCACTCATATGAACAGGGTTCAGGGTGGGGTTTTTTATTGAGATAAAATATATATAACGTAGAATTTCCATTTTAACCCCTTTTAAGTGTACAGTTCAGTGATGTGAGTATATTCACAATGTGGTGTAGCCATCGCCACTATTTATCCCCAGAAGATTTTTGTCACCCCAAATGGAAACTCTGTACCGATTAAACGCTAGCCCCTGATCCCTCCCCACCCCAGCCCTCTATTCTCCTTTCTGTCCACGAATTTGCCTAAGACACCACTGGGTCATCCTTAGGAAAGGACTTACACCCATTCAGCCCCTGCTTAGGGATGTAACAGTAGGCATCAGGGGACTCCAAGTTCAAGGTCATTCTTTCCAGACTGAAAACTAGAGGCTACTGCATCAGTGCCATTCACCACCTGATAAGCATAGACAGCGTTTCCAGCCACAACCCACAACAACCCCAAGGCTCTGCGTCCTCTAGGATGTGAGTCGGCGCACGTTTCCTGCAGGTGGCCAGACAGCAAGTGGTGTAGGCTCTGCGGGCTCAGGGGGGAAAGCTTGAAGATAGTTAAGCAAGAAGAGAGAAAGTGAATTTCTGCAAAATTAGTATTGAGGAAATTAAAAATATAATAATCAAATGTATTTTTTAGTAATAGGTATGTTAATGAGAAGACTATAATTCTTTGGGGGAAACGATTCTGCTTAATTCAGGGTCAAAGTTAGTGTTCTTGTGCCCATGAGAGAAAGGTGACATTCATTCTTCTATAAGCCTTCCCTCACTTCTCTGAAACTGTTACCTTCCTGCGTGTGAATTCACCAGAATGTGTTACCAAATCTCTCTCTCGGACCTGCGCTCTGCCTGCCCTTAATGCTGGGAGCTCTGTGCGTGGGGGAAGCCTGCACGGAGCCTGTGTTCTGAGGTACGGCCCCCTGGGTCTGAATGCCAGCTGCACTCACTGTCACCTACGTGACCGTTCCCGACCACTTAACCTATGTACAAGCTC